TGTGATCAGAATTAGGGCACTTGGCAACTAGCAGATATTCCATATTATATATTCCAGCATCCCGTGGGCACGCAATTGCCATTTTTGACCTTCCCAGCTGGTTTCCAACAAGCAAAATCAATGGGGAAGCTGGATTTGCTTTATAACCATACAATTCCCTTAACAACTGCAGTGATTGGCTTAATAACCATGGCAAAAAGTGCCATAAAATCAAGCAAGACTCACTTATCAACTGCTTTGCTTAGTAACAGAAATTCTGTTCCTAGTTGTGGTAGTAAACTGAGGACTACTTGTACTCCTATTTGAATTTATTTCCAAATAAATCTAGATCCAGTTTTGAGATATAATCCAGATTGCCGGACTTAATTTAGGAGGGTGGAGTCTGTAGCTCTCCGTTGAACTACATCTCCCAAATTCCATTATTCTACAACAGCGGTTCCCAATCTTTTTTATACCTTGCATCCTAGAACCCTTCTGATATATTCTCGCACCCTTTACAAAAGCTCAAAATAACAGCAACAAATTATGCACATACACTATAATTTTGAAACTTCTAAACCCAAGTTTTCGCACCCCCTGGAATAACATCTCACACCCCCAGATTGGGAACCCGTTCTACAATCTGCTTTTAAAAAAAATTTATCAACTCCAAACATCTCAGAATAGAATATTATTATAAAAAAAAATGTTCCCAAGCAGGTCACCATCCAGAACGTGTGGATTACAGTTCCCAGCAGGTAGCAGAGTGGCATGGGAATTGTAGTCCAATCCGTTGGAGAGCCGTGTGAGAAAAGCCAGGAAAACAATTCGATTTTTGTAGTTATAAAAACGCAATTAGGTCTTGCAGCCATTGGTGACATTGTTACATGTTTTGTGGTATTGCACATAAGCCAAGGGGGAATGCACTTTGAGAAATTTGCATATGCAAGTTAGAAAAAAAAAATCTAAGCAGGGAAAATATTTTACAAAGGGCTGAGGAAAAATTAAAAACGGGGAGAGAAATATGTGAGGACTACAGTGCAATAAATCAAAACTTCCCAAACTAGAGAACAACCAAAAAAAAACCCCAAGAAACTTCCGGCTTTTCCAATGGAAGGAAAAAAGCGGAAATGACGTCACCCCTGCAAGCCATTTAAAGCGGTTTTACAGGGAGAAACCCGGAAAGCCAATGAGAATCATCGAAGGAAGGAGAGAGAGGGGGGAAAAAATAAAAAAAGACAAGCCGTCTAGCTATTGGTCAGTAGCTCTGATGCCGTTGGGATCCCGTCCCAATAGAAACCCAGCGCGGACTTTGGCAGAACCCCGCCCCCTTTTTTCCCACAAGCCTGTCAAACGGCACGGACCAATGGGCTGAGGGAGCCTCGCGGCGGCAAACCAATCCGTAGGCACGGAGAAAGGTGGGAGAGGGAAGGCGGGATCCAAACCCGCCCTCTTTTTTCCCTCCCGCCAACGAGCCCTCCGGAAGGCGCGGAGGGGGCGGGCCGGCGCGCGCGGCGGGAGCCAATCGGAGCGCGGGGGCGGGGCGGGAGCATTCTAGCAGGTTCCAGAAGGCGGGGTGGGAGAAGGGAAAGGCGGGCGCAGGAAGGAGACGGGGAGCCAGACGGGAAAAAGCCGAAGGAGAGGAGGCGGAGGCGGTGGCGGAACCGAGATTTCCCCGGCGCCATGGAGAAGGTGGGCGAGAGGGGGAGGGGCGGTTAACGTGGAGGGTGGGGGGGAGGAAGAAAGACTCCTGTATCTCCTGCAAAGGATTCTGGGAAAAGCACGTTTTTCTGCCCCCCCCAACCAGGGAGAAATGGGCCTGCAGCTTCAGAGGATTCTGGGAAGTGGGGATGTGGGGGGGGCTTGTTCTCCCCAGAATCTAAGGTGCCGAGGGGGGGGGTCCATGGGTTTGCAGAGCATCATGGGAAGGGGGAGGGAGGG